TATATGGCGTGAGGGACAATCCTATCGCTGGTGGAGCTGTTCAAGATCCTGGCGGCCTGTGCTGATATGCGGCCCTTTTGAAAGGCTCTGACGGCAAATTTGGAGTCGCTGTACACCTCTTCGCATCGACCATTTAGCAGAGCGAGTGCGATGGCCACTTGTTCGGCCACCTGGGGGTTCGTTTAGGGTATCATGGCGCAGTTCGTAGTCGAGCCCGTCTTGTCCACAACCACATCTGTGAACTTCTTGCGGTCTCGATATGCTGCAGCCTCAACGAAACTTGCATTCACGCCACCTTTTCCCAGTTGCGTCAGTATATAAAGTCGTCGCCTTTGCTCGACGACGTCCATCATTGTGTACAGGGGGAGTGTTGCGGGGTATTGGGGCAACAATGACGTTTTGCTGTATATGTTTTGATACACGCACGATATTTGTTTCTAGCTCCATAAGGTTAAAACCTAGCTCGCCAAGTATGCGCCGACTAGCCGTCGTAGTGGACAACCGAGCCAGCTGCGAGCGTTGCTGCATTTCCGCTTTCTCGGCAGCAGAGTTGGCACACCGTGCGCGAGCAAACTCTCGGTGTGTGTGCGTACGGGAAGCCCCAGTGCTTTCTTGACGATCTTTCGGATAATGACGTCGAGCTTGTCCCACTCCGACCTAAGCCACTTGTGCATGGCAACGGTGTAAGTAAAGTGGCAGAGTACGAATGCACTGATGAGCCTTAACGACTTGTCTTCCTTATGGCCTCTATGTCCCCCGGAGATTCTTTTGATGAGTCGAAAAGCGTTCTCAGTCTTGGCGACGATCTTCCGCAGAGCGGTGCCATTGCCACCCTTCGCTTCAATAAACATTCCGAGGATCCGGATGGTGTCTACCCTCGGGATTTTCTCCCCGTCACACCTTTATTGATTGATTTGTGGGGTTTAGCGTCCCAAAATCACCATATTATTATGAGCGACGCCATAGTGGAGGTTTCCGGAAATTTCGACCACCTGGGGTTCTTTAAAGTGACCCAAATCTGAGCACACGGGCCTACAAAATTTCCGCCTCTATCAGAAATGCAGCCGCCGTAGCCTGGATTCGATCCCGCGACCTGTGGGTCAGCAACCGAGTAGCTTAGCCACTAGACCACTGCAGCGCGGCTCTCCCCGTCACTCGTGTGAATGTGTATATCGCTTTCTTCGACGCGTTTCTATCTATTAGGTCGGCCACCTCATTTTTTTTCTGTAGAGCAGGAGCTCCGACTTGGCGGGTGACCATCTCAGTCCTGTTTGGCGCAGGTACAATTCCACCTGGGCGACTCGCCACAGTCTCCAAGATGAATTCGTGCTTAATGTTGTCAAAGGCCTTCTCTAGGTCTAGGCCAAGAAGAGCCTTTGTATCTCTAGAGTAACCATCAAGGACTTGGTGCTTAATGAGCAGCATTGCATCCTGCGTTGAAAGGCCGGTACGAAACCCGATCATGTTGTGCGTATAAATATAATTTCCCTCCAGGTATACTATAGTCATTAAGTATGTTGAGAATCGCCTGCTCTGCCACCTTACCCTCGCACGACGTGAGGAAGATCGGATGAAGACTCTCAACGCTAGGAGACTTTCCTGGCTTGGCAATCAGTACGGTGTCGGCTAGCTTCCATTTCTCAGGAACACTACCCGTTTTCCATGCTTCATTGATGAAAGCAGTTGGACGTTCTATAAATGCATCGTCGAGGTTTCTGAGGGCTCTGTTCGTGATTCCGTCTGGGCCTGGTGCCGACTTGCGATTGAGCATTTGTATCACTCTCCTGATTTCAGCCTCTGAAAAGTATTCTTCTAGTTCAGGTAAAGGAGGGCCACCATACTCTGGAAACACTCTGTCTTCGTCCTCTCGTTCGACCGGCAGCTACATGGAAACTAATCGGGTAACGAGTTCGTCAACCTCCTGTTTTTTGGTGGCTTCGTGAAGGGCATAAGCTAAAGTGTGTCTCTGGTTAGCCCTAGTGCTGTGCTCGTCAATGAGGTGCCTCAGAAGGTGCCAGGACTTGCCATTTCCGGTTTGACCGTCGACGGACTCACGGAGCTCGTCCCACAGCTGTTTGCGCAGTGTGTCGAAATGTTGTTCGATTGCTTTGTTCAACTTTGATATTTTTTGCCGCAGCCTGACCGACTTTGATGGCTTCAAAACGGGTTGGCTTGTAAATGCTGGGTGCATGACGTCATGCTTCATCCTGTGTTTTTCCTTCCTCCATGGAAGTACCTTATTATGGTGATGTGGATAGCACGCGTGGCTCAGTTGCCGCGGAGCCAGAGGTCATGGGTTCTATGACGAAACTTTTTTCTTTGCTTTCTGATAATGCGTATTTTTTCTCCATCATGACACTTCCGTGACTGAAATACGTCATTGAAATCTTGGTGGGCCTTGGCATAAAATACTTTCTTGTTTATGAAAGGTTGTCAAAGAGGCAGTGATCGGCACATAGGCAGTGTGAAGCATCCTCACCATCATCATCAACAATCTGATTACGCCCACTGCAGGGCAAAGGCCTCTTCCATGATTCGCCAATGAACCCAATCTTGTGGTTTTTGCTGTCACTTTATACTTATACCGGCGAACTTTTTAATCTCATCGGCCCACCTAACTCTCTGTGAAGCAAGTGATGGTGAATTGACGGCTTTAAATGTGCGTGCGACGCTAGTTTTACATGGACAAGGAACCATAAATCGGGCTCCTTAGTCGGTAATGAACTAGAGATCTTCATTTGATTACTTTAGCTTGCATCCAATAATACACTAATACAAACGTAAGTTTGTTTTAAAGACACACACACGTATGCCTGCGATGTCTGCTTGGTGAATCTGTGTAGTGCTGTGCGTATGTACAATGCAGTGCGTGGAGCGCTAACTGCCGGCAAGATTTTGAAATGCCGCGTATGCGCACTATTTCATCAAGGTGGTGCGTGCCCCGCGTTGTCTGCTACTCCTGCGCCCATGCACTCGACGTGCGCTAGCAAGCGATGGCCATTCATGCTTCTCGTGTTCTCACCGTATATCACCTGATTTGAAGTCGGCCTTCGGCTTCTTTAAAAAGCCAATATTTAACGGTTACCAAGGTGAGCTTAGAATTTTCACTGCATGAGACTTCAAAAACCTTATTTGTTTTAAAAAACAGCCAGTTCCGGCGAGCAGTATGTGGAAGGTTTCACGGGCTGAACAGTGTGAGCTTGCGAAAACCTGCGGCAATAAATGAAACCATACATTGTTTTGTGCTTGCTGAAAATTGAACGATTAGCAGGCAGAGTGACAGCTAGGTAAATTTCACCGCAAGAACACGAAACCGCTTTCCAACGCTTTCATGCGCATAGGTAAAGAAGCAGCAGACAAAACTGGACGGGCGCCGCTCATACAGTGCTATGCGCATGCGTCGCATTTACTAATCTCGCAGCCAGTTAGCGCGGCGCAGCCCACCGGGCAGGGGCTCACGGGTTTCCTCTAACAGTGAACTGTGCTGTACCTGCGTGTGTATGTGCAACTGCTGGCGTGTTTGCATACTGTGTAAGGACATGCTTGAGTGTCTACGTACAAGTGTCTGCAGTAAACGCGTGCTGTGTTTGCCTGTGTGTTTGCGGTCGCATGCATCATGAGACAGTTATAGTATACCGGGCTTACGGGGATACCGGGCCATCCCGCTATCCGGGCTAACCGGATAGCGGGCTCGAAGTGCACGTGTGCAGATACGCGCGTTACCAGTACTGCTTACCGTACGCGCGCAATTTTTCAGATTTAACGTTACCATGGTAGCGTATACAGGTGTACGTGGTGTACGTACAACATGGCGGCGCACTTTGACGCCCACTTTGAAGTGATTTTGGCGTAGTGGCTGAAAGATTGACTTTGTTCGCGGCAAACGACTGCTTAAAGTGGCTTTGCTTGTCTTCAGTAAGCTTCGATGACCGAGTATTACGGATAAGTTGACGTAGTTTTTGAGATAACTTCTTGTTTCGAACGCGCCTAGGCCGAACTACAAGATCGATGTAACCAAATCGGCAACACAAGTGTTTTCGTGTTTGGTGCGTGGTTCATATTTAGTTACTTTTATTAAAAATAAACTTGCAACAATGCATCGTGTAGAGGCATAAGCAAACATTCTCCTTTTCTTTTCCTTTTCACTGTTCTTTAACTTATTAACCATCCGATAGATTGTCCCATCGTCCCAGCTGGGCCACGTAAACCACGTAAACGCTATCCCGGTAAACTATAAGACGCTGTCCACAACGAACGTTCGCTGCACGGTAACGCCATTCCCTTAACCTCCGCTATTCGCTAACGGTAAACTATAACTGTCTTACTGGAGAGCACGCACTCAGCACGGAGGAGATACCGGGAAGAACACAACACAAGGGTTCACTTTATTGAGCGTGTTAATACACGTCTTGAGTGCGTGCTCTCCGGCAATAATGATGAATCTCCTCGAAGTTGCCCAATGATCCGCTGGGTTGTATACATAGGAATGCGCTTATTCATGGAAATACGAGCTATGTGCGAGCGTTTATGTGCCTATTTATGCGTCTTTGTAAGCACCTGCTTCGTGTGTTCGTGCGCGTGTTCAAAATGGGTATGTGTGCGTATGCATTGAGTGCACGCATGGAAGTAGGAGTCTCTACATGAGTGAGTGCTGTATTTATTGCGTACGTGTGTATGCATTTGTGCACCTGTACAAATTCTACGTACAGTATATAAGAAGTATGCGTATGTATGTGTGGTTGTGTACAACAGTAAATGACAAGTCAGTGCATGTGCGTCTGTGTGCATGTCGTCCTGTGGTTAATCTCTTCCCGTGGTTAATTGCCGCGGTTTTACATGCGTTTTTGTAGTGAGCGTACACTTCAACATCTTCATGTGCGCGTCACTCAAGCCATTCGACGTTTCATCGAGAAAAGAGAGAATTGTGTGATACCGTCTCGCCTAAGGTCAGTTCAGCGCGTTTCAACGGAGACTGGAAGCACCTGGGTGCAGCGGAGTACCTTGATGCAGCACTCTAGGAACTTCATCTCCTTGAGATCAGCTACAGTGGCGTAGCGGTCTCGATCAGTGGCGAATATGAGGTCCATCTCATCCTGCACCTTCTTCTGTGCTCCAGGATTCTGGCCTAGCAAGTAGATGCACCAAGATATGGCCGCTGACGTCGTGTCGTGCCCCTGCATGTACACGTGAACTACAATAAACAGCCACTCTCCCGACAAAGTTTTCTCACTTTCGGCCCATTAGTTTACATCACACTTTGGCAAACATGAAGCGTATGTGTTTGCATTCGGTACAGAAGATTTATGTGAGCGTACCTTTGATCTTTTTCTATCTTTTTTTTGCAGCGCCGAGGTATTCGCGACAGCCAAAGAGGATGTCTTTCGCACTATTGAGATGAGGAGAGCCGCTCTAGGCTTGCATGCAAGCGAGTAATGGCCGACCCTGTCCGTGACGGCACGGATGGCGGAGGAGAGCTGAGAAGTAAAAAAATACAGAAAGCGGAGACTATGCAGCTACACAGGTAAAGATAACGGTAAGGCTCTTGAGGCCACTCCCTCTCCCACAGTCCCACAGGCGCAGGCCTATGGCTTGCAGGTTCAATTCATTAGATTTAGGGTCACGCTATAGACAGACAGCTGCTCCTTGGGAATCCCGAAATTCTAAGTGCCGAAACCACAATATGATAATAAGGAACATCGTATAGAGGGAAGGACTCCAGATTAATTCTGATCAGCTGCCGTTTCTATAGTGAAGCCGTATATTGCTATAAAAGGTGGTAAATTGTGGTGGTCCATAAATGCGCAGAAACTATAACAATGAGCAATGCAAGCATTGCGAGTAGGCGCTACCTCAAAGAGTCTCCGGGCTAGCATTAGATTAGTCTTCAGGTTATGTTAGCCTATATTGCTAGAGATATTACCCGCCCAAACTTCAATTAAAATATTTTGGGGGTTCTTATTGTCCTCTAAGCGAACACCACCAAAGGCAAAATTTGAAGCACACAGCTCCTAAATGTTGGGATAGAAAAATCAAAAGCTACAACGAGGGAAGCTTCGATAGATGCCAGCTTGTGATAAACACCGTGGCGGCACGTTTCAGATCCGCTCGCTAATTATCAGTAAACAGTGCTTGAGCGGCACTCTAAATACAAATACCTGCGTTTTATTATTTCACTCCCACTAAATTGGCTGTCATAAACGGCTATTCAATATTCTATGCCCACGTGCTTAGCACCGCAACACCGAAGTTGCAATGCTACAGCGGTTTGCTTAAGTGAATTTTGAGCAATCACTACGGCATATCTTGCTGTCAGATTTCGAGACTGGCTCGTCACTTTGCCAAAGCAGTCGAGCATGAATATAAGGCAGCTGGCGAGCGACCATAAGCCATAATGCATGAAAGAGCTCGCCGACCTTCTTGCCTAATGCGTTCCACATGTAGCTCCCGTCAAGGTCGTAACACCCCATAATATAATTTTTTTTAACTCCCACGAAACTGCAGGAATGCTTTGGCATGTAGCTAGTCCTCTGCTACGTGGAAGTAGGAAGCAACAAGTAACTTACGAGAAAAAAAAAGACAGCGTCGTGACTTAACATGATGTGTATACAATAACGATAAATGGTGCGAAAATTCTCTTTGCGCCATAGAAGCTCAACTAGACGAGAAAATTAAAATGCCAACCCTAATAAGCAAAATCTCGTTCACAAAAAAAAAACATATACAGAAAATATTATAACTGGAATAAAGACTATGCGACATTTATAACTATCACATTAAAACAGAATAGATAGATACAGAGAAAGAATAAAGTTGAGTGAAAGGCAGGGAGGTCAACTAGCTAAAACAGAAAGCTTATCATTGACTGTGCGAGAATAGAAACACAGCAATAAGAGGTGAGGGGTTAGAAACATCTCTGGCTATACTAATAAGACGTCATGCCAAAACAGTGCAGCAGAAAATCTCTACTACGAAATTGTGAGACAGCACATGCGTACGCATATTTGTAATTGTATCACTTAACACCAAAAACAGTAGGCGACATTAGCCTATGTTTTGCCTAGACTACCAGATATTAACCAGAGTTTAGCCTAAACTGGTTGACGTCAGACATCAGTTTAACGCTAGCCGAGAATAGCCATCACGCACATTAGCTACTACGTGGCTAACTATAGCCATCGTTAACAGGCTATAGCCTACATTAGTTATTAGTTAGTCAAACTTACCCAGTATTACCTACCGTTTTTCGAACACTAGCCGACATCGGTCATCATTTAGCCAACTCTAACCGTGAGTGAGAATCATTTGGCGAGCACTATAATAATATTATCTGGGTTTTTATGTACCAAAACCACCATACGATTACACCCTATGTAGTGGAGTGCTCCGGAAACTTTGACCATTTGATGTTCTTTAACGTGCAATGACACTGGTCTCCACTAATTCGCCTCCATCGAAATACGACCACCACGGCTGGGATCAAACCCGTGACTTTTGGGGCAGTAGCCGACTACATTAGCCACTGTTCCATTGAGGTGGACACTTAGTCAATACAAAGTTATACTTTATGGTTACCAGTTGCGGAAGTTGTAGTCGACTTGCTGCTCCGATTGTGTGTTATGATTACTTGTAGCACTAACTGTATAATATATATTATTATGTGACCTGCTTTCCTACTGGAACGGCTTTTTTTTTCGTATCACACGCATACGCCTTTTCCTTGAGACTTAGCTATTCACTTGTTTGCGCGCTACGCACATTAACGTTTGGACACTTACGCATCAAAAAGTTAATTAGATTTATCTTATAAAGCTTCACAATCGAATTGCGATAGAAGATAGTCCCATCGCATGGTAGTGAATAGAACAGCCCATGGTCTAAACCAATTCAAGATGACTTAAATCGGGATCATGTTACTTGCTCCACCACTAAGTGGCAAATTCGGGTGGAAATATAGCGAGTTGCATCTTTCAATTCCCTCATTGCGTAAGGCCCCAGCTTCGGAATGCGGCTTGGCTGCCATGTAAGGGTACAGAACGGAAGCAGGAATAGTTTCCGGAACCGGTTTACGTGACATGCCGTGCGAATAAGAAACCTTCGCTATGACTTCACACGAACCATTTCAATGCTCCACTAGCAGATTATGCTTGATGCAATCTGATGACTCACTCAGAGATTTTCGCAGCCCCTCCAGATCTCTCAGTGAAAAGCAACATTACTTGCTAAAATATCAGCTCCCGTACATCATTTCAATTCCGTAATTCAACAAATTACAGAGAACTGAAGACGTGGAGCTTTTATTGTCATAGAGTTAGCCATATTGATTCAATGATTAGGCATATTGTTAGGCATTTTCTTGCTGTCTCGCCTGGTTGGCACCGCTATGGACCAAATAAAGTTATCGGGCACAATATTGGTACCTACTGAGCCTCGGTGCTACTAAATCTACTGCATGCTGAACAAATACTCTCGCCTTTGCATTCGCATTCACGTCAAATTCTTTACCAATGCACAAGTCTCGAAAAAAGAGAGAGTAAGGTATGCCATAGGCATATTACCATACGAACTAGACTATCACTTACAGCAGTTGCACAAAATCGTAAAATGCACTGCTTTCGTTTAATACTCTTGAGTGGATTAATTGCTATTTGTCTGGTAAATGATGGGCTGTTATAGTTTCATTACGCCATATGTGTTTATCTATCATATATATATATATATATATATATATATATATATATATATATATATATATATATATATATATATATATATATTGTCACGGGTATAGAAAGGTACCTCAGGCACTGATGCAGAAATGACGCAGAAGGGATGAAGACGACGATGTTGTTGCGGAGCCATGTCTGGACTGCGCCGTTGTCCTGCATCCTTGCCCACTGTCTGCAGTTTTAGCCCAACCTCCGGCGTTAACTTATTAAATACTCCCTGTTACAATATATATATATCTATATATATATATATATATATATATATATATATATATATATATATATATATATATATATATATATATATATATATATATATATATATATTGTCACGGGTATAGAAAGGTACCTCAGGCACAGATGCAGAAATGACGTAGAAGGGATGAAGACGACGATGTTGTTGCGGAGCCGTGTCTGGACTGCCCCGTTGTCCTGCATCCTTGCCCACTGTCTGCAGTTTTAGCCCAACCGGCGTTAACCTATTAAATACTCCTCATTACAATATATATATATATATATATATATATATATATATATATATATATATATATATATATATATATATATATATATATATATATATATATATATATATATATATATATATATATATATATATATATAGTGGGAGTAATAATTCAATGGGCCAGTTAGTTTTCGTGAAGGTATGAGATATGGCACAACGGGAGCGTTGTCAACAAGGATAAATATATTTATTTCCCAACAGTTTCGGGAGGGGTCCTCCCTTCATCAGGGGATGAGATAACTCATCCCCTGATGAAGGGAGGACCCCTTTTGAAACTGTTGGGAAATAAATATATTTATCCTTGTTGACAACGCTCCCGTTGTGCCATATCTCATACCTTATATATATATATATATATATATATATATATATATTCCGAAAAAATATTTTGAGGTAAGATGCGCTAATGGGTACAGAATTCTTCACTCCGAATGTTCTCTTGAAGCTCTGCAACGCAAATTTTCACACATTTGTGGTCATGTCATGTTGGTGGCCGTTCGTATGGAGCAATAGGTAAATGGAAACCTGGTCGCTCACATTAAAGATGATAAGACGGTATTCTTTAGGCCACAAAGAAACGTCTAGGTGTGGTTTAAAATCTTGTAGCAAATAGATGTTACTGGTGTGGATGTACTTGGGGTTTCACCAGAAATTATGCATTAACAACGGAAGGACTTGTGCGTTGTCCGTTTGCGCTCAAATCTATTGCAGAATCAACGAACGCGCCCAACGAAGCGTTTTATTAACAACGACATCACGCACGTCCGATTAATACCAATAGAAACGTTTGGGGAACGAGTGCCACTGGAGCCACAGACTCAATAGGAGCGAAAAAAAAGCGACAAAACGCATTGCATAGAGTCATGTAATCTTAGCCCTTCGACATCGGCTGCTGGGCTTTCCCGAATTCACTCTGCGCGTTCGCTACGGTTGCGGTGGACTCTTTGAAATACAAGAAATTTATCATCGAGCAGTTGTAAAAGGACATAATTAGTTCTCCAAGAAATATAGATGACGCTCGATGTGATGCCCCTTGTTATATGAGCACAAACGTGGAAACTCTGTTCGACGTACCTCGAACATGAAGGTGTCCACCTCTTCACGGATGTCCTCTTCAGAGATACTGTTCTCACTTATGTGGTGGTCCAGCAGGACGTCCAGGAACATCGGGCGCTTTTTGAGCTCGTCGCTTGAGTCCGTGATGAGCCGCTTCTCGGACAGCTTGACGTCTTTCCGCTCGCGTATCACCTGCACGTCAGGCGGCGCGAACGCAATAACACGTGCAGGTTAACAGTGTGCACGCGGTATTCTTCACCTCTTATGTAAAACATGAAACCGACTGCATTGGTTTCAGCCACCAAGTTTGCGCCTCCACTTTTTAGGTGTATTCTGGGACACTAAAGACACGTTAATGTAAAAAAAAAACACGTTTCTTTCATTATTACCTCGTGCTTCAGGGCAGTCGCACTTGCCGTCAATGTTTTAGAGTAATGCGCTATTTTCTATTACACTTATCTCTAGTGTACGAAATTGACATTAATTTAAACTGCAAAATAATAGCCACTTCACACACCATGAATTCAGTACGTAAAATGCTATTTTTAAAATGCATAAATAGTGCTGTAAAGTTTTTGAAGCGAAAATTGATAAACTATCATAGCCATGAAATAATAGCGTTTTGAGGCAGAGAAATTTTTTCCTGGTTATTGCTCATACCTATTATGCAAATTATGCACATTATTTAGCGTGACACAGTTTTACTTGGGTGCCCGAAGTTTGAAGCGGCCTTCAGGTAACAGAATTATCTTAAGAAATATTACGGCCCAGTAACTACTTCTCGCATTTGCATATACCTGCACAGTTTTTTATAGAAAAATCGAAGATGGTCAAAAATTCACCTGCAGGTACACTTGACATAAAATGACTCATATATATATATATATATATATATATATATATATATATATATATATATATATATAGTCTAGTAGATCCTCCGTGAGCGGTCACAACGTGGTTTATTTCGACGTTTCAGCCTAGAGTCTGGCCATCATCAGGATATATATATATATATATATATATATATATATATATATATATATATATATATATATATATATATATATATATATATATACTACACCCTAATAAATAAACCTGATTCGTCTCTTAGAGCCAAGGCTAATAATTGCGATCAGAAATTTCAAATAAAGGCGGGTGGGTCTGAATTTTTCTCTTCTGTATCAGGACGAAAAAAAACTAAGATAAAGTATCGTAGTCATAAAAGATCGAAATTGGGCACTGGAGTGAGAGACCTAGTAAAAAAGAACTGACCGTGTTCCTCTTATTTTAACAAGTTCAGGAGAGTGAACTGACATTTGCTCTTTTCAAGGAGGCATACCACCTGAAGAGACTGTTTCGCCTGCATGCTCCAGATTCCGTCGCGATAGTTAGGTCAGACGTCACTCCGCGAAACGTGGTCGCGCGTAATTCAAGGCAAGGCACCGAATGAGTGTGCGCAGCAAAAAGCAAAGGAGCAAGCCGACCTTCTTGGTGAATGTGTGGATGGCGCTGATGTCGTGGTGGTAGAGGCGTCCGTTGCGCGTCAGCCGGTACAGAGAGTCCAGCCACAGCCAGGGACGCACGGCACGGTTGATGAAGTTGCTGCCAACTCTCCAGGTGGCGCCGCCATGCGTCAAGAAAGGCGCCAGTTGAAAACATCGCTACCCCCATAATACACTTCTGCTAGATTAACGCCTTCTTAATTTTTTTTAATTCCAGTGCAAAGACGCGCTTATCAATGGGAGCCGTCGGTCTGCCTTCGTTCAGGAAGTGGTCATGATGCGATGCTGCATGAGAGTTCACACTGCATGCACCACACGTGCTTCCGAGTGCTTTACCCCGGAGGTGAAAAAGCCGTCTTTCCCACCACAGTATCCTACGTCTCTCAGATTTCTTCTTTCAGGCTCCTTTTTTTGCGGCTCGAAGGAACGCCGCCACTGTATCACGGCGCAACGCAGGTAGTAGCGTTGCATTGACGCTTCCTCATTGGTTGTCCTCATAGCGCCACGAACGGTGACTCGTTATTTGAAAACACCGTATTTTCTCAGAGCCAGCGTGACCACCAGCTTCTGTACACCAGAATCTGTACACAACTGACAAAACAATTACTTCGCATGATTTCCATCGTAAGGCACTGCGTGTGGGAGCTCTCTCCCCCATGACAGCAAAGCACACACGAAGGCTAAGCAATGGGAAAGAGCAGAGAAAGGGTAAGGGGAGAGGGTAGTGAACGGCTGGATCAGGCGCATTTGGCTGACATTGAAATAATAGAGGAGACGTTGGCTAGACAGTAATCGGCGCCAGTGCTAGGATCGCCCACCGCAATGGTGGGTTTACGAGTGACTACGGCGTGGCACTGCTAAGCACGAGTAAGGGAATTGGACTCACGACCACTACTGCCGCATTCAATTAATAGCTGCTTGGAAGCTTACGAACCCTAATCTCACTATCATATGTTGATAGTAGGGGGCTTCGAATAAAATTCGAACACCTTGGTTCGATTAACATGCACCTGAGTTTAAGCATACGGTTGCTCTTCGAACACTCGACTTCAGATACAGGTACAGTCTGACACCTAGGGGCAATATCAGAGTGCATGGCATGCGTAAAGCCCCTTAATATTGGGAAATTACCGCCATCTTCTGTACCTGCCGCCACGCGCTCGACCTCCTCTTTCCCTTCTCGCCCTCCTTCGCGTCCTCCCGGCCTCCGACACTTTTTCTGCACGATAGTGGGTCTCCTTCACGGTTGCGCTTGGAGACATGGGGATCTTGCGCTTTGCTCGTGTTTTTCTTTTTCACTCGCGCCATTTGTCGCCGACGCTCCACGTAACAAACGTAGCGCGCGCTTTGTTTTCTGTGCGTTGCGTGGGCGCTATGCCGTGTTGTTGCGCCTATGACTGCAACAACCACAGCGAAAATGGTTAGGCGCTTTTCATGATACCCCAAGGTAAACGCAGTGGCTTGCGCAAGCAGCAGTGGCTGCACAACATGGGCCGAAAAAACTTCGTTCCGACAAAGAACAGTGTACGTCGAGAGGTAAGGCGCCTTTCTTATTGCTCGTAATAAAGCATCACTGAATGCTGAATTTTAAATATTGTTTCGGCCTGCTCATTGGGATAGTTGTTTTTTTAGGGGCGAAGCTCCTCACGCTGTGGATTGTATATTCCGTGTCGTCGTAGTGGTCGTAGTAGCCAGTTGCAGTGCATTGGATGTCAATCAAAACGGCATCACACCATACCCACAGAGTGAATGATGATGAGTGGTACGAAGCGTCCCTCAGTCCATTCATGCATCCATCCGTCCATCAATCCATCCGCACGCTTCGCTGTACTCGTCATTATTCATCTCGTGGAGATGCTGTGATTTTTCCCTCGGCTATTCGCGCGTTGCTTAAAAGTAGAATTGTCATAAATATGTGGAATTCCTTTGTTGGAAACAAGAAGAAAGTTGAATCGTTTAACGTTTTTATACAAAATTATGTCAGAGAAAGTTGCCTTAGATGTACCTTGTTGCGTTCAGCCAGCCGCTGCTAGGAATACTCGCCGTAAAGATGTTCAATCCTTGGCACCCATATTCGCGCGAACTAATGCTTACAAATACAGTTATTTTCCTGTAACAGTTGATGAATGCAATTCACTGCCTCATGAGATTTTTCGGCTGTCAATTTTACAACATCGCTAAAAGGTTATCTATTTTGTGATTAGAATGTTCAAATGTGTTATAAATTTTGTCGCTGTTTCACAGAAATGGGACCTCTGTTAGCGTATGAATACATGTTTTTTTTTTTTTGCTGTTAAGAATCACTTTATGTTTCTCATCCGCCTTTTTCTTGTACCAAAATTCTAGTCTGCAGTATGTCTAAAATAAGTAAATTAAATAAATAAAAATATTCAGCTCATACTTCGTCACATCGCACGCACCTCGGCAATCGTCGAAAATGCACAACTGTAGTCTGTTTTCACTGCGCACAATTAAGTGGGATAACACAGCTTCTCGATCGCGCTTTTTGTGACTGTTAGGATTTGTTTACAAGAACGTTTGTTGGGGAAAAGAAATGAATGGATGAATAGAGATGACACTAAGTGGCGCTCGTTTTCATTAGGATATTTGTTTTGTTATTTGTTTTTAGGGGGAATGAACACACGAAAAGCATGAAACAGATGCGGTCCATTGAAAGAAGGAATTAGTACAGAGGCGCAACGCAACAAAAAATGCTATGGCACGGTGATAGCGAGTGAGCCGTTTTCTAGAAGACCGTGGCCGCCATCGTTTTGGTGACGCCAGTATTAGCATATCTTCCATTCTCCATTAAGAAACTATATTATCTTTTTTACCAGTGTCACATGGGTACTTATAACCAGGATCAATCAGTCCGGATAGGTTTTTTCGGTCGCTATCGACGCGCAGATTATGATGACCTTCCTGGTGCAGTTTCTTCTCTCAGAAGTTACCCGATCGCTAGTTTAATTGACAAAAACGTTAAAACACAGTTCTAATTTATGATTTTATTATGTTTCTGTTTTTGTGATGAATGAGTCACTGATGACGACACTTAATCGTATTCATATTGCTGAAAGGCCTTTTTCAGTTTGGAGACCACTGCGCAAAGCTACTTTCACGCCGAGGAGTTGAACACATGGCTAAACGATCCACCATTCACGAAGTCATTGAAATATGTGACGCTGTAAAAACCGACGTCGTATATTGGCGCACAAGCACGAAAAAACTCCGAACACAGACAGACATGCCACAAGCAGAACTGCATCAGATGCAAACGTACAGCATGTTATCATACGGCAGAAAAACATCCGCATCATAGAACGCCCCGTAAAAGCTCTTATTTAATTAGCATGCCCCAATACAACCTTTGGAAGAAGCTAACCCTTTAATAAACGGTTGCCACAGAGTTTTTAATTTTATTATCAACATTAAAAAATCAGCACTACTGTGGCGTGCAAGCTGCCGCAAATAGCCCGCCTCCATTGATTTCTGTGGCGCGGGAGCGTCGGCGAAAAATGGCGCCGCGCGCCACGCGCATGGCAAGTGGGCGAGGAGAATTGAGGAGGAAGCGCGTGCGAGGAGGAGAGTGTCATTACTTTCCCAAGATCAAGGGGTTTTAGGCACGCGTTGAGGCCAGCGCTCCAGTCATGTGCCACCGTAGCAGATGACACGGTTGTACACTACGCCGCTCAAGTGTCTGCACACGCACAAGCTGCTGCCGGGTTGCGATGACAGCGCTGGCCGCACCACTATGTCATAGTGTGAAACAGACTGTGGAGTACGTCATAAGCGAATGTGGCAGGAAATGTTAGTCGCAAAAGAAAACACCTGAGCTATCACTGCTCGCAAAGAAAGAAGGAAAGAAAGAAAGAAACGAAGAGAAAAAGAAAGAACGAAAGAAAGAAAAAAAGAAAGAAAGAAAGAGTTTTTGTGTTGTAGACAACAACTCTCTCAACATTTTCCCTTTCATGTTTAGGTTTCGCAAAGGACAACATTGCGGCCTAGAATGCCAACACTGAAATACGACATCTAGAGCACATTAACATACATACTTTTAGCACAGCAATACTTGAATTTTTTAAACATTTCTAGAGGCGTTGTAAGTAAAAGAGTAACGAAACAATCACCATTCCTTCATAACATGACGCCCATGTTTCTCGGGGAGAAAAATGTCTCGTAACCATAATTTCATAATTCGCTACAAGTGGACATTTGTATTGCTCAAGCATCCACTAACACCCCCAACAGAGGCAAGCACCCTCTTGCACTCCGCTAGCTAGAGCTTGCGCTAGCCGGCTACCACCTCGACTACCTTCGAGGATTAACTTTAAACTCGCCAAGAACAAGTTATAACGATAAAGACGCGACGCACGCTAATGATGACCTGCAGAGGTGAAGAATAGTGAAGTTGCGGGTTGCGCTCATAATTTAATGATCTTTTTTCCCCTTTCCGGAGAGTAGAGGAGAGCCCGCAGATCAACTGTGCACAACGTTTTGAATTACGGGTAGTGGAGGAGAGGGTATCTCACCTGTATATGTTGCTCACGTAGGTAGAAGTTGGGTTGGTCTGCGCATTCACCTTGACTCCCATGGCAGTCTCTGGGAAAGAGTCGAATGCACGTCAAGCGACGCATTAAGGGAAGTGTGAGTCCGCATATTTACCCGAGTATGAGGATGCAACCAGCACACGCCCAAAAGGCATGTTTATCATGAAGGCAAAAGCAGCTGCCCAAAATGGATATGAGAGAAAGTTATCTTGTGGTGGAACGGCTTCATTAATATGAAACACGTGTGTGGCAGGGTACTGTGACACCAGAGTCCGAATGCGTTCACCGCTGAATTGGAGTGCGTTCAAGGGATCGTCATACTGGTTTCGCATTGAGGCAGTAACTGTATGGTAATAGGTTAGTTTGAACATGTGACAGATTTCTCTCGGTGGCAGAGAAAAAGAAAGCTGCGTTTATTTTTTACGAGAATCGGAGCACGCAGCTCCCGATGGCAGTGACAAGCAAAAAACACACGCAAAAAGACCCTACACACACATACGACTCCAAAATATTCATATACTCAAGGCCATCTTCAATACCCTATTTAAGACAGATTCGATCAAAAGCATCAATAAGTCAATACACAGCCCACATCACATGTGCTGTATTTGATCACATGCCGAGAATGTACTTTGTTTCGTTAGGGAGCTTTCCTCACACTTTGTATCACAAAAATACGGCTGTAAACTATATTAACATGCTACAGCTGCCCCAGCCTGCCACAAAGACCATGCATACATATTGTGTCTCTTGAAACCTCGCTGAACTACTGCGACCATCAAATGTCGTTATGCCGTCTGAGCCAAAGTCAAGGAGCAAGAACAAGATGGCTTGTAGGCATGACTCGTCACTGGGAGAGCAAACCGGCTTGCACACCCGCCTCTGAACTGATGAGCGTAGTAGTATTTCTTACTTGATGCCCCAGCAGTCCTCGTGTCCATCCCCTCGATTAAAAAAAAATGTTTGTAGTTCAGAATATCAGCATCAACTTTGGGCTGCCCAGGAAACCTGCGATGTGGTGTTTAGGCTAGGTCTAACTGCTCCCACGTGGGAGTGGCCCGCGCTGTCGCCCTAAGGGGTGGCACTCCTCCGGATCTTTAACTAAAGCTGTTCATGCCGTACCGTACTATACTACAACCAAAAAATAGACTATACGAAATTCAACGGAGTCCCATTAATGCAAATTATGTTAAAGTAGCAGCGACTACAAGCGCAAAAAGCAGCTGCACTTCGATATTACGTACTTTGGCGAGTCTGGGACTCGGATGTCAAAAGTAATACAAGTGGTAGTGACTGCCTGTCTCTGCTTCATCATCGACCTACAATAAGCATCAAAATCCTCTACCTTATAAGGAATTTCGCGTCACCTAGCACGCAGCGCTGCTGCGCCTAGGGTGTGCGACGTAAGAACTCGGCCAACGCGCAGTCTTTTTGTCCTCTTCTTCAGCCTTTGGCTTCGCTCTCCCAATGTGCGCCCGGCGCGCGCTTTCCCACTGCGCCGAGTGGGCTGGCGTGTGATGCAGTAACTCGGCTGGACGAGAGATGGAGTGAAGAGAGAGGAAAAGATATAGAAATAGAGAAATGAAGAGAAGAAAATAAGAAAGAGGTACAGAGAGAAATATACAGAAACACTTAAAAAAAAGGGGGTCACAACGGGAGTAGAACTACAAAGAACGAAAGCAAGAAAGAAAAAAAGGAAGAAAGAAAGAGAAAGGAATGAAAGAAAAAAAGATAGAAAGAGCGGGCGAAAAACAGATAGAAACAGAGACACAAAAGGGACAGAGAAAGAGGGAGAAATAGAAAAAAATAAAGAAAAATAACCATGGCTGCGCAGCTCCGCTGTTCCTTTTAAATTGGGGCCGCTAGTGCGAAACTGCCTCAATTTTTCAAGTGTCCTGCAGTTGTCATAAAAGCACATTGTGTGCTCCACCTAACTGCCGTTTTTCCGCGCACGCAAGTGGTCATTCTTTTGAATTTTGCTTTCCCTTTCGCACAAATAGTCATTTTTTCACGGTGAGCGTACCGCAAATGATGTCGAGAGTGCAGGCAGTGACGAATTTGGTGATGTCGACTGCACCGTGCGTCTGGTGCTGCAGCGCCTGCGCGAAGATCTCTCCTTGCTCGTTCATGATTGGCAGGAAGTCTTCGAGTATGCGAAAGTGGAACGCCGGTGTCAGCATCTTCCGCCGCGACTTCCATTTGGAGCCGGAGCTGCAAGCGTGGGGAAAGAAAGTGTATACATCCATCAAAGTGCAGTGTACTCGGTGTGCACTATAAAAAAAAATGGCAGATCCTACGTACAGTGGTAATTGATGATATGCGAAGCACAAATGAGGAAAGTTGGCATGTCACTTTAAAATCAGCACAACGCTAGGAGTCGGACGTAAATCATGCCGTACATGACTTCCATGTCATTAATATCATATTTGGACGTGTAATTTAACCTTCGTCGTCTATTCACGTCACGTGATACCAAATTTGGTATATGTGGAGCTGGGGAAACGGCCACAAGCGCATCCTGAGCGTGGCTTGTAGTTATGTTCTTACATGTCACGCCACTCTTGATTTTCATGTTTTTACCAGTAATATACCTTGGACATTCATTCACGTCCCGAGACACCAAATTTGGTATGTGAAGCTAGCGAAACGACCGTGAGCGCACCATGAGCATGGCGTGTAGCCATGACTTATATGACATGCATGTCAAAATTTTCAACTTGGGATCTGTCACTTATGTTCGCCATGCAGTCATGTCTTGCCATGCCAGTTTTGAAATACATCATGTGAACACAACCACTACAAGCCTACAAGACCTTGTAGTGCAAATCATGACATTTATGGCATACATACCATGATTTTCAAGTTATGAATAGTCACTCATGCTCGTCATACAGTCATGGTACGCCTTACCAAATTTGGTATTGATGCCATGATTGAAACGGCCAGGAGAGCTAAAAGTCGTAGGCAGCTAGATAGCTAGATAGATACGCTAGAGGTCGCCGAAGTTCCCTAAGAAATACTTCGCATTTAAAAATAGAGTTTTCGGGCAGTAGTTCTGCTGCACAACAATAATCGTTATCTGAATTGATCGCGCTTCCTTTCTTGAAAACCCGGAGCTGGCCACTTTCCTCTCGGGACTGCTATGTCACATTGATAACGAGCACGCGCTGTTCACGACCGCGAACTACCAAAATCCGCGGTGATAATGCCAGGAAAGTACTCGAAGTATACGAATGTTGTTAACAGAAAAACTCTCGAAATATTTCATTTTTTTAGAGTGTATATCATAACAAATAAGACTGTGTGACTGTTGAGAGAGAAATAAGAAATTAAGAGGGAAGGTGCGACTGAAAGAAATATGAACCTAAAAAGCGACGAGCTCCTCGATCAGTTTTACCGTCCTCATCAATATCTACATACAAATGAATCTCTTTTAAAAATTTCAGATACTGTATCCTTATGCATGTCAGGTTAAAAGCGAGACAAACATCTCCAGCCTTTCAATAAAATATTAAATGTGAAGCATTGTTAGTGAACGTCGGCGACTTTGAGCGTATCTATCTCTATCTCTATCTATCTATCTATTTATCTATCACTATCTATCTATCTATCTATTCTATCTATCTATCTATCTATCTATCTATCTATATACTCTCTATCTATTATCTATCTATCTATCTATCTATCTATCTATCTATCTATCTATCTATCTATCTATCTATCTATCTATCTATCTATCTATCTATCTATCTATCTATCTATCTATCTATCTATCTATCTATCTATCTATCTATCTATCTATCTATCTACTATCTATCTATCTATCTATCTATCTATCTATCTATCTATCTATCTATCTATCTATCTATCTATCTATCTATCTATCTATCTATCTATCTATCTATCTATCTATCTATCTATCTATCTATCAAGCCGCCAACGACTTTTTGCTCTTTCGGCCGTTTCGATAATGACATCGATACCAAAATTGGTATGGAATAACACAACGGTATGACGAGCATAAGTGACTTGTCATCACATGAAAATCATGACATGTATGTCATGAATATCATGATCTACCATTCATGGCCTTGCTGCTTTTACGGTGATTTCGTTAGCAGGGCATATTGAAAAACTGGCGTGGTATGGCATTACTGCATGGTTAACATAAGAGACAGACCCTAACGTCGAAATTATCATAAGCACATCTTATACGTCATGACAACACACCACGCTCATGTTGCGCTCGTGGTCGTTTCGCTAGGTTCACATATACCAAATTCGTTGTTACGTGACGTCAATGGATGACGAAAGCATATCACTGGTGCAAACATGATAATAATGGCATGCGTGTCATGAAAAAGCATGACTACATGCAACCACCATAGCACGCTCACGGCCGTTTCGCTAACTCGACATGTAGCAAATTTGGTATCACGTCACGTGAATAGACGACGAAAGTAAATGACATGTCCAAACATGATAATCATGATATGCGTGTCACGTAAAACATGACCACATGCTACGCTCATTGCGTGCGCGCGGCCGTTTGGCTAGCTCCGCTTATACGAACTTTGGTATCACGTGACAATTAAAGAGAACGAAGGATAATTACACATATGAACATGATAACCTTGACATGGAAGTCATGTACGGCATACTTTACGTCCACCTCGTAACGGTGTGCTGATTTTAAAGTGACATGTCAACCTTACTCATTCGTGCATGCTTCGCATATAATAATTCCCACTGTGCGTGGTATCTGCCATTTTTTTTCTCTCTCATATTGTTCTGTAAATATTAAACTGATAGGCTAGTGTTGAGCTGCACACTTGCCGTTGGGTGGATTTGAAAAGGATCCAAAACTGAAGCCAAATGTAGCTGAAGTAGATATGCCTTTTAAGTTCACTGGCTAATCTGTCGTGAAATAGAGCAGAAGCGACATTACAAAATTTAATATATTAAAAATTAAGGTTTATTATTGAACAATAAGTGTTCATTTGAATAAGCAAAAACACAGAAAGAAGAGCCCTGTCTTTTTTACTTTTTACCTGGTTTTCAAGCCAGAGGTAAGTTGCAAATAAATGCATAATATTTTGTAAATTATGTGCACCGACCTATATATTTCACGCAGAGTAGGTAGAGTACTTTCCTAAAACTTACTCACTTCAGAACATTGCAGACAACAAATCGTAAAAAACCTTAAATTTTGAGGCCATTTTTTTTCTTGAAGACGCCGACCGAAATTGAACAGGAGTGTTACCATAATACCGGTTTAGTTTCAAGTATGATTATGTCTGCTTCAAGATAAACTGTTGACCTACACTTTATTGTCAATTTCTGCCTTTGTCAAGTTCACACAATAATATGCGCTGCGCATCAATATTACAACTGGCATGCATCGGCCTGAACTTTATTTTGAGCATACTATATATATGTAACGTAACTGGGAGCCATAAAAAACAAGAGCACGCGTATAGGTTAGGCCCCTACGCGTTTCATTCTACGAGTATAATACACTGCAGCAGTTCATGAAATAAGAAAAAAGCTGCAAATCACGATAATAGGCGCATTTTAAGGGACACCGCCTGTCAATGGCAAAAAAAAAACTTTTGGATGGGGTTTTCTAACGTAACACGTGTAAAAAAAAGATGAACCTTTAAGCTTTGCATTCAGGAGTTGAAAGCGATAGCAATACCTTGTCCCTAGAGCGTACTCCAACCATTGAGTGCATATTTTTATATTGCGTGATCTTCTTTGAAAAGTCTAAGTTGCGGATGACTAGAATTTAATTGATAAAGTTGGAACTGACTTGAGTCCGTGAAGCTTTCGCATATGCCTGCGTTCTGTGTAATGGGTAGCATGCTTTACAATGAGCAATTCTCTGTGTGAAAAGTTTTCGAAATTTCTATTCACCCACTACGTGGTCTTCAGGGAATACACGCAGTAACGTGTGTGCCTTTTGTAATCGTTGTCGGCTTTAAACCACAAAGTAGTTACAAAATCATATGTTCGGGCGACCGATAGCAGCGCACGCTTGTACTACGCAATATTGCTGCGATATTAAATGCGAATCATTGATTTGCGTGTGTCAAGCTCTTTTAGCGTCTATCTGCGCATCTATCTATCAGCCGCTTACGTGTGGGTGCTCTCGTGATCACCCTCTTAAGTTGGCGTGAACCAAAAGCAGTATGAGAGGGTAACATGGTTTGACAACTATGGCGTGATGGTAAAGACATGATTGTTGTCCTAATCCCGTCGCGTACTTTGTCATAGACTTCCCGCCAGACAGTGGTATGCGGATATGTGCCACAGGTGATTCCACTTCGTATCTACCCAGGAACGACGAGAACACACATGAGCAATTTTAACACATGAGTGTTAAAAGAAACCTGACATCGGCAGCATTAACCCGACGAATGCAACGAATAAATGTCAAGGTCCCAGCAGAAATTGAATTCCCAGGTATTCTGCGTGGCGATCAAGCATTCTACCGTAGAGCAACGCCATGGCTTGGAACTCCCTAATGTTCGTGAAACGTTGTTGTTGTTTCCGTGCTGGCTAACTAATTTTATAAACATTACATATGCACTACGATGATACAGCCGTCATGTCAGCATAACCTAAATTGTAGTTAGATTCCATGCGCTGATGTTTATTTATGTAGCAGTGGCCAGGGCTATACCATCCTCGCGCGCACGAGTGCTTCATATCAGCGTATGGCTTCTGGTGTTTTTAATCATGCTCCACTTGACATCGTTGCGCAAGTGCAAACAACTGTTTATATAAACATCTGCAACTATTCAGCATATGTCTGTAAGTGCAACTTTTATACATCTATTTAGCGCCAATTCACAGCTTGAGACTCAATAAAAAATTTTGCAACACGAGCACCTTAATTTCGCATGCTTCGCATAACATTGATTCTCAAGGTACATGGCATCTAAAAAATTTCTATAGGGTCTATTGTGAAGGCTGCATACAAGCATCATGTGTTTCTAAATCATGAATATCATTTTCACTGCATTTTCAAGCAGAGAAAGTTATTTTGATTGTATGTTCAAGAAACCGCGTGGCCGCGTGATAGAACACGTGCCTTCCCCGCCATCGTCCCGGGTCTGATCTACGCTCACACGCGGAAATTTTTATTATTTATTTCAACACGAAAGTGTTTCATGCCAGGAGCCACCAAGGCTTCGCCGACGTATTTT